TGCAGTTCAAAACACCTGAGTAACCCAAGGTTAAGAACCACTGCGAGTAGAGGACAGCCTTCATCAGTGCGGTGCCCCTTCCTACATGTCAGACTACAATCCTCATTGGCCTCTGGTTAATTAATTGATTGGCTCAACCAATGAAAAATGTTTGCAACCAATTAAAAAAATACAATTAACTAGATAACAATTTAAAAAGTATTTAGCAGAATGGCAGATGACAGGCTCCATGCCTTTACTATCATGCTAGTAGGACCTCTTTTTAATAATGTTTAATCAAACCATCAGTCAAAAATAAATGGGATTTCCTTTTTTTTAAAAAGCCATAGTCTAGATACAAATGAGACCAAACAACAACAACACCCCCCAATCTGATGGTAACATTCCCTTAACGGTGAACTTTTGAGGACATGCCCCCTCAAATCACAGGCGTGATGTCATCCAGCTAGTAGGAGAGGCACAAGACAAAGAGGATTGTCTTGGGAAATTATGGTTTATTTATGTAGTCAATTGTTCTTTGCCATTACGCTTTAGTCATAGTTTTAGAAGAGATAGCCATGTAAGTCTGTGCAAGCTCATCAGGCAAAAGAAAAAGAAAAACTAAAAAAAGACAACAATGCTGTGTCTTTTAAAAATGTTATATTTTAAATAAAAGCTTTGTAGAACTTTTTTGTTCACTTTTCCAGACATATGAGGTAGAATACAGAGATGACACGACAAAACATTTATCTCAGGCTCTAAAGGGGCAGTGGTATATGTCTGCATTTTACATCTTAAATTCTTTTGATGTCTGGTTCTGTAAATGTTCCTACAGGAGACACCAAAGCAAAAAAATAATAATGTTGTGGTACTTTAAAGACCAACTGTACACGGTAACACAGTTAAAAGACACAATAGAGAAACAATATATTGTAGTGCAGAAAATGACAGGCTATACCTTCGAGCCTGGGTCTCAAGGCGATGAAAGAAAATGCCAGTAGATAACATAATTATTACATCTGGTAATGACTAAAGAAACCTGGACTGATGTTTAGTCCACTTATATGGGTGTGCATCATGTGTATTCTTTTTGTTCTGCCTGATATGCTTTAGTGAGTTTCAAATTTATTTCCTGCTAGTCAACTGGAAAGTGACCATCCTTGAATAATATTTATTTATTTATTTATTTATTTATTTATTTATTTATTTATTTATTTATTTATTTATTTATTTATTTATTTGACTTATATACCGCCCCATAGCGCTACAAATTATCTTGAGAGAGCCTCTTTCTTTCAAAGTGATAACATTCTTTGAAACACTGGATTCTACCCTCACTGGGAATCTCAATTGGGCAACTGTTGTTCAACACCACAGCTCTCTTAGATCAGTTCAGATCCTAGAATAGCTTTCCCTTCCTTCATTGGCACCCTCCAAATGTGCTAGAGACTGTAATGCTTGTCATGCCCAAACAGGAGCCATGCTGGTTGGGTATGACAGGAGCTACAGAGAAACTAGAGAAACCTAACAGACTGGATTTGTCCCCTAAGACATTTCACTTTTTCTGTTCTCTAGATCCCACAGGACAGCCCACATGCCAACTGGAAACCAGCACTATGGAAGGACATAACCATTTCCCTTACATTATGCTGAGCATTTGTACGAGCTGTGTTCTGTATACAGTATTATGTGGTCCTTCAGTTTTGCTTTTATTTTATTTATATAGTGCCCATCTATACAGTATTATGTGGTCCTTCAGTTTTGATTTTATTTATATAGCGCCCATCTAATTAGCGGCCACTCTGGGTGGTTTACAACATAAAACAGTAAACTATAAGCAAAACGTCAAGTCTACACAATAATCTTTTACCTTTCTTGTTTTGATCTTTCAGGTGCCTTGCCTCATGGCCCTTCTCTGCATGGATTGGCATAATGAAATCTTCACGCTTTTATACCTACAAAGGGAAAATAAATTAAAAATAATTATAATTCAAACGTGATACCACAGAAATAAATGCTTATCAAGAGTTTGGGATGTGACTGGCACCTCCTTAATTAGCTGGAATTTGACATTAAATTACACCTAACTGATGAGGTCCTAATTACATTGCTGATCAGGTACAAGACCAGGTATACTGCTGTCACCTCGTTAGTTTGCTGAAATTTGCTGCCATGATTTATACCATTTCATGGGTTCTAGAGTAAAATATCAATACAATGCTGACTGTCATACTGTTATACAGAAGCTCTCAAAGGAGCAGAAAACAACTCCCAAAGGACGGCCCAAAAATAGATTTTCATTAACAAATCTATTAATTTTTATTTATTTATTTAAAATACCCAAAACGGCACCAGGTGATTTCTGTAACCCAGTGCCACTTTCTAAGGCGCAGGAACAGGCCACGTTGGCCTTTTGATTCTTTTAAGTCCGTTGGCAACCTGGGGGGGGGAATAAAACTATCTTGACCCGCTCCTCTGCCTTTTGCAGGAATCAGCATGCAAAAGGGTTGGTGCACACTGAATCCTCAAGAAAAGCACAGCTGCAGAGAGCAAGCGAGATGTTGGCAACCTAGCAGGGAATCTTAGGAATATCAAAAACCACCCCCTTCTCTGGCAGTGGCTGCTTTTTGACATTTTATTTTCACGATTTCTTTTATTTTCTGCTTCCCGATGCTAGTCTGTCCAGGCTTTCACTCACCTCCCCCTTCCACAGTGAGAGTGCCAATCAATGCCTCCCTGCAAAAGGCAGAGTCTTCCCCTCCCCAGGCATAAAGGAAGGCAGTGGACCCGGAAGGGGGCTGGTGAATGTATGGACTTGTCTAGCCATTGCAGCTCTGTGCCTTTAACCACTTCAGGGTTGCAGTTAAGCAAATCAAAGCAAGGCTTCTGTGCCCTTCGTTTGCCAAGAACAAGGCTCATCCTTGATCTGTGAACCTGGACAGGCCACATAAATGGGTCCATTTTTGGATACTTCCTAGGGATTTTTTTTAATTTATTGCACTTGTGTGCCACTATACTCCAGGATCCTCAAAACATTCCCCAAATTAAAACAGTATTCAAGCCCACCACAAAAAGACAACAAATGTTACGGTCAGCAAAGGACAGAAGGGACCCCCTCACCACCGCAGGAGTATACCGGATACCTTGCAATTGTGGCCAGGTATATATTGGAACCACAAAATGAAGCATCCACACCAGAATCAAAGAACATGAGAGACACTGCAGACTAAAACAACCAGAAAAATCTGCAGTAGCTGAACATGCCCTGAAACAAACTGGATATGAAATTCTATTTCAAAATACTGAAATACTGGACAACACCAGCAATCATTACGTCAGACTGCACAGGGAAGCCATTGAAATCCACAAGCACAGTTTCAACAAAAAAGAGGAAAGTATGAAGCTCAACAAAACTTGGCTCCCAGCTATCAAACATACTACGTGCAAAAAAAGGTCAACGAACTCTACCCACCCACAAGGACAGGGGATCACTACACACAAAAGACCAGCTAATGACACACATCAATCACAGTGACAGATAATCTCTTCCCCTTAGCACAACAATACACCCACAACAATACACACTAATCACCCATCCAGAGGAAAAGACAAAAGCCTATCTCACAGCCATAAATACTGCACTCCAAGCCAAGTACACCAGACTACAGGTTGCTGTCCTCTGAAGATGCCCGCCACAGAGACTGGTGAAAGGTCAGGAAGAACAACCTTCAGAATACGGCCAAAGAGCCCGAAAAACCCAGAACAACCATTAAAACAAGAGACATAGATCACTAAAAAGTGATTACAAACAAAAAAAGTTTAAAGGAATCTAAAAACAGACTTAAAAGAGGAAAAATCTGAAACGCACCCATCAAAAGACAATAACAGTGTTAGGCATAGGGCATCTAACTATATTAACCTTAAGTATAAAAACCCTGATCGAAGAAACATGTTTTCAGTGGCCTCCAAGAGGAGAGGAAAGAGGGAGCCAGACCTAGGCTCACTGAAGAGGGTATTCAGTAACCTGGGGGCAGCTATTGAGAAGGCCCCCTCTGGCTGGTTAGCATGCCCTAATCCCTGCCCTAAACCCAGAGATATTAATAGTTAAAGCTCTGAGATTGGGGGAGAGGGCTAGATTTCGTTCAGAACAGCACATCCACGTTAGAACTTTGCACAAACATTAAGGCCCCGTGTGGTACAAAACATGTTGTTATACGCTACAGTTGCTGAGGAATATTCAGAACCGATAATAATTACTGAGGACAAAATATCATTTTTCAGATGTTTGTAACACTACCAGCAGGTGTACAAACACACAACCCTCTTTGGTTTTGTTTTGTTTGTTTTTTCATTAGGAGTCAATGCCATGGTCCATGACAGCAAACCAAACCAAAATCCATAGGAGGGCCATATGTTCACTGCAGTCAACTAAAATTACACAACAGTGTGCAGGTCTCCGAGTCCTACATAACTCTTCATTGTGTTCATTCGCATAAAATTGGGAGAGGGAGAAAAGAATATTTAAAAAAAATTGAGCAAATATTTCTGTCCGTCTGTCCATGAGACCTGCAGTTATATCAATTCCCCAGAAGGAGATTTTATTTTTTTACTAAATATTTATATTTTATTTTTCCCTACTTTTCTATCTGTTGCCACCAGAGTGATTTATTACAATATGTTCCATTCATTTCAACTTGTTTTACACTCTCTAAGATATTACTCTAATCTATTCTACTTAAATCGGTATAGATTTCCTCTAGATATAAAGAGGTTCCCATTTATTATTATCCAGTCTATCATTTAGTATATCTGTCAAAATATCAATTTCGAGTGTAGCTGGTAATATATTCAATAAAAAAATTCTTGTGTCAAAGCAATTTTAACCCCTAAAATTTTCTCTATCATTTTGGATTAATTTTCCAAAAGTCCTTGGCCCTATTGCACATCCACCACATATAACAGAAGCACCCTACTTTCTTTTCATATTTCCAACACTTATTAGAAACATTTTTATTAATTTCTCTGGTGTTACATACCATCTGTAAAACATTTTGTATATACTGTATTTTCTTTTAGATTTATAGATTTAGTCATTTTAATACAGTATTTCATTCCTAAATTTGTGACCAGGCACTTAGTTCTATATAATGAACTATATTTTGAGCCCACCCAGAAGGAAACTCTAAAGAGAATAAATCTTGGTAGGTATGCAGGTTTCCGATTACTCAGGAAGGGCGAATCTCAATTTCTAAAAGCACAAGGCTGGTTGCGATATCAGGATCTTTTCTTTCTCTCACTTGCTCTTCTAGGTCAATCTACAAATTACAGAGATCACGTCATTAGGAGATGGAATTTCTGGTGATAAAAATAGCAGATTGTCACAAGTCGAGTTATTTACACATCCTGTACTTTGTATGTCAGCTAGCTCTTTCGCATTTAGTCTTCTGGACAGAAAAAGTGGGCTTCATTTTCATGTTCATATTTATCAGGTGCCTATCATAGGGAAAACCAGAACGGATTCAGATGAAGGCAGAGTAAACATTGGTGGAAAAAACATCAATCATTGAGGATAAGCAAATGATATAATTTTACTGGTACAGTACAAAGCATCAATGACTGTAAATAACTTTTAGGGAAAGTGAACAAGAAAGTGCCAAAGCAGCACTGCAAGTGAATGTTACGAAGACAAAATTCATGAAAACAGAACAAGGATACAACTTCAACACTGACAATGAGGACACTGAAATTGTTAAAGATTTTGTATATCTTAGTTAAATAATCAGTCCAAAGGAATACTGCAGCTAAGAAATCAGAAGAAAGCTGAGATGCAGAAGGGCAGCAATGAAGAAATTAGAAAAGATTAGTAAGGATGTGTCACCAAGATCATCCACATTCGTGGATTTCCGATCAACATACAGTATATGGGTGTGAAAGCTGGACAAGTCAAGAAAGCTGACAGGAGAAAAACCTGTTTCGTATGAACTGTGGTGCTGGTGGAGAGCTTTGCCAATGCTCTGAACTACCAGAAAGATGCCTAAGTGGGCCCTAGATGGAAACAAGCCTCAACTATCACTGGAGGCAAAAATGCTGAAACCGAGACTCTCCTACTTTGGGCACCTCATGAGAAGGCAAGATTCTCTGGAGAAGACAATCATGCTGGGAAATCTGGGAGGCAGCAGGAAAAGAGGAAGGTCAAAGATGAGATGGACTGACTCCCTAAGAGAAACCACAGGCTGGAGTTTACAAGAGCTGAGCAAAGGCTGTGGAGGACAGGATATTTTGGAGGGGGCTGATTCATAGGATCCCCTTGAGTTAAGGCGACTTGATGGCACACAACAACAACAACAACAACAACAACAACAACAACAACAACAACAACAACAACAACAACAACAACAAAGCCTGCAGGAATTGCTCTTCTCTAATTTCAAATAGAAAGATTTCAGGCAAAGCAATAAATGTCAGTAATTCCACGTCAAAGAGCGAGGAAAAACTTTGTTTTTTTAAAAAACTAAGATCCCCAGAATACTGGCTGGACGATTTGGGGACCTGTCATTTACAAAACTTATTCCCAAGCCCTGAATCGAACTGCACAGAACTCAAACACAGCCAAATTATTTTGACATTTGAGCAGAGAGAGAGAGAGAAAAAAAAATGCATCTCCTCTATTTCTTTTTCCTGTACAAGTGTCATCACAATAAATTAAGCAGCTAACGATTAGCTGTCTGTTCATGACATCCCCCAAAATCTGCTGCCTGACGCTCCTGCCTCACTAAGCAAAGCCTGTCCTGGAAAAACTTCTTGTTCTTGATCCTTTAGCTCCCTTCAAAAGCCTGGGAGTGAGCTTTCCCTACAAGCACCTTAATGGGTTAAGTCCATAAAGTTCTCAGGCCTAGAGCAGGCCCACTAAGACAAATACATAGTTTTTTTTGGGGGGGGGGGAAACAATCCCCTGAAATTCCTTTTCCTGTCTCCCTTGCTTTTCTGTCCTTCTCAGGTTGCCCAAACTTTGGAGTGTTTCACAATTCCGCAGAGGCTGCAACAGAGTCACCTGATTTGCAAAGGTAAGTTGAGAAAAGAGAGAGAAAAAATGAGATGGTAAAGAATGAATCAGCTGCAGTTATCAATTTTGCATCCTCTTGATCGGAAGGAAAAACCTGGCAACTTGTGGGCCATGGGATGCTGCTGGACTGCAACTCCCATCATCCCCTAGCCTTGCAGGGCCTTTAATGAGATGTAGCTCAAACATCTGGGGGCTTGTCTTACTTTATCTCTTGCATCTTTCCAGAGCAATGAGTGTGATTTTCAGCTGACCCTTGCAGTGCCCAGTGTATCTTTTTCAACGTAGAACCTCCAGTATTAGGAGCAGTGACATTTGGATGACAAAACTGAGGAAAGATACCCCCCCCTGCAAAAGAAACCACACAGACCACAAGGCAATGATTTTCTTTTTCCTCTTTGGCTTGCGGTCCGCAGGGTGGGCAACCTGGTGATGCCCCAGATGTTTTGAACTAAAATGTCTGTCACCACTGAGCTTCATGGCTGCCAGTCAGGGATGAGGCGAGTGGGAGCCCAAGAATATCTGGAGGGCACTTGGTTATTTATTTCCTATTGTGATATTAAGAGCATAAAGAATGCTGCCCCCCACTGCTCTTCTTCATGCAGGCAAAGACCTTTCTCTTCAAGCAGGCTTTTTCTCAGTAATTGAATGCTTGAGGATTTTTTTTGTTATTTTCAATATGCTTTTAGTGTGATTTTAAAACTGTTTTTATTCCCTGGTTTTAATATGCTACCTGTATAACAATAAAGATAATAACAACAATAATAGCCTTAGAACTACAGAGCTAGAAAGATCCCTATGGATTACGGAGTCCAGCCCCTCTTAAGGAGGCTCAGAATTCGAACTCTCCACCTCTGGCTCTGCAGCCGGATAGCTAAAGCCGAACTCCCCACCTCTGGCTTTGCAGCCAGACAGCTAAACCAGCAGTTCACTTTTTAAATTAGTTTTAAGTATTGTTATAATTTATTGTTTTTCAGCTTTTAATATTATTTGTTTCAATAGTGCAATCTGTGCTGAGTTCTCTTGAGGAGAAAGGTGGAGTATAAATATTTTAAATACATAAACGTATAGGTAGTTTGGGATGTGTGCTAATATTTGGCCCATGACTGGGCTATTCGGAAAAAAACATCCTCATTTATCTCAGACCTAGTTCAAAGCTACCCATTTTAAATCTGAACCTCAATTCAGAAGGCCAGAGTTTGCACCTCTAGCCAACTATCAATGGAGATTTTTAAAAAACTGGATACAAATGGACTGCATTTCTCTTGGTAGAATTGCATAACATTTGCAGGCCTTCATTCTGAGAGGATGAAATGTGACCCAAATCAGTCAAATAGGTGTGGGATTTTGTTTTCTGTGCAAGACCTTGTGTGTGTGTGTGCGTGTGTGTGTGTGTAAGTAAAATTTTTATATCTTGCTAGAACTGGATGCTATTTGCAGACATAATTGCCCTGGGTGGTGTTGGGTGAAGTCTGCCAAATTTGGATGCTGGAGGTTTTGTGCAAGATCAGCCATCGCTGTTTGAGAGCCTCCAGAAAACTCCAGTTTCCTTGTTGTTGTTGTTTAGTTGTTAAGCCATGTCCGACTCTTTGTGACCCCATGAACCAGAGCATGCCAGGCCCTCCTGTCTTCCACTGCCTCCTGGAGTTTGGTCAAATTCATGTTGGTAGCTTCGGTGACACTGTCCAACCATCTCATCCTCTGTCGTCCCCTTCTCCTCTTGCCTTCACTCTTTCCCAACATCAGGGTCTTTTCCAGGGAGTCTTCCCTTCTCATGAGATGGCCAAAGTATTGGAGCCTCAGCTTCAGGATCTGTCCTTCCAGTGAGCACTCAAGGTTGATTTCCTTTAGAATGGATAGGTTTGTTCTCCTTGCAGTCCAGGGGACTCTCAAGAGCCTCCTCCAGCACCACAATTCAAAGGCATCAATTCTTCAGCGATCAGCTTTCTTTATGGTCCAGCTCTCACTGCCGTACATTACTACAGGGAAAACCATAGCTTTGACTATTTGGACTTTAGTTGGCAAGGTGATGTCTCTGCTTTTTAAGATGCTGTCTAGGTTTGTCATCGCTTTCCTCCCAAGAAGCAGGTGTCTTTTAATTTCATGGCTGCTGTTACCATCTGCAGTGATCATGGAGCCCAAGAAAGTAAAATCTGTCATCGCCTCCATATCTTCCCCTTCTAAGTTTCCTTGTACAGTGGTGCCTCGCTTAACAACGTTAATTCATTCCATCGAAATCGCTGTAGAGCAAAAACATCGTAAAGCGAAATAAAAAAGCCCATTGAAACACATTGAAAACCATTCAATGCGTTCCAATGGGCTGAAAAACTCACTGTCCAGCAAAGATCCTCCATAGGGGCAGCCATTTTCAGTGCCCGTAGAGCAAGGAATCTGTCCAAAAACCCAGCGGGGAGCTATTTTGAGCACCCGTTGATCAGCTGTTTTGAAAACCCGTTGATCAGCTGTTTTGATCGTTGTAATGCAAAGAATCGGTTCTCGCAGCAGGGAACCAATCTTCGCAAAGCGAAAAAAACACACATTTAAAACATCGTTGTGAAGCATATTCGTCGTTATATGGGGTAAACATTAAGCGGGGCACGACTGTACAGTACTATGTGGTATATATGATAGGATCGACGCTGTAGGACAAGGAGGAGTTGTCCTTATATACAGCACTCAGCTCCCTAATTATTGTGGTCATTTGGTCTGAAAATGTCATATGGGTTAAACATATGACGGCTCCCAGACTCTGGAACTCCCTCCCACTGGAGACCAGGCTGGTCCCCTTTTAGTTTTCTTTCCACAAGCAGGCAAAGACCTTTCTCTTCAGGCAGGCTTTTCCTTAGTGACTGGCTATCTAGGAGACAATAAATAGGATGGTTTATATTTTGTTGCTTTTCAATCTATTCTAGTAATGCCTTTACTTAATATTTTTAGCATCATGTTATTGTTTCTTTTTTAATATTCAAGAAATTTACTGTTTTTAGCTTTTAATATTGTGTTTTTAATGATGTAAGTGACATGGGGTTCTTTTTAAGGAGAAAGGCATCATAAAAATATTTGAAATAAATGAATAAACAGATAGATGGACAGACAGACAGACAGACAGACAGACATGGCCTTAGGTTGAAAAGCCTGCAATAATTTATAAGGATGGCCAAGATGTTTTTGTGGAATATGTGTTTATCCACACATTTAGAAGGGAGTGTGTTATTCACGTCCTCTATCTTGTTATTTTGTAAAAAGAATAAAAAAAATCATATCTCATAGGCCCATCTTGAAAGTAGTGACAAATGACAAAGTTACATGTGGCTAATTACTTTTGTTTGTTTGTTTAGAGAATAGAGGTTTGAGATCTGAAAAGTACCTCATTGAGCATGAACAAAATTCCTTTATCTGCGTGTTGAGAAACACTTTCTTTTTCTTGCAAAATCACTCTTTTGGAGCAGTCTATTTATTTATTTCATTTTTATGCCACCTTTTTCTTAGTTAAGAAACCCAAATTATTAAGACACTAGCCAACTAAAAATACAGCCGGTTCTTACATTAAAAGCAATTCAACATGTAATAATATTAAAACCCTTCAGTTGAAGCAGTTAGAAAGATAACGAAAACACCTTAAAACACATATAAAAACCTCAACAATAATAAACAGCATCTTAAAACACACACACACACATTTTTCTGTTGCCCAGTTCAGTTGTTTAAAACTATCTTTAAAAGGAAGGTCTTTACCAGTCTCTTGAAGCACATTTTTAAGGCATTTTGACGGAAACGTTGACTGGAATTCAAGTTTCATACTATTCTCCTATCAATCCTTTGTTGTTGTTTTAAATAAATAAACCAAATAGCAAACAGTAATAAAAAAAGGGGGCCAGAACAGGGCTGATGGGGTGGGGGGGAGTGAGAGAACTGCTAATTCTCCCAAAAATTGCAACAAAAAGAAGTAACAAAGGTGAGTTCCTGTTCCAACACGGTATGAAAGAACAGGAATGAATTGCTTTTGAAAAGTAACTTTTGAAGCTGTTACAGGCAAGTATATTGTCTGCCCTCTTGAAGGCTTCTTAAACAACTGTCACATAGAAAAGCCGGGACTGTTCTTGTGGAAGAAGGAGATTTTGACAGTTTAACTGCCACTCGGTTGGACAAAAGAACTGGTTATGTTGGTGCTGTGGTCGCTGTAACCTCTGAATTTTGAAGTATGCTGTTTTTCTACCAATCCTAAGGTCTTTAGAATGGTGGTAATACGAAAAAAAAGCAAAAAAAAAAAAAAAAAAAAAAAAAAAGCAGAGAGCAGCAAAAGAGGTGATATACTATATCACCAATCTTTGCAACAATTTTGTCAACGATGAGTCACAACTTGAGAATTACTAGTGAAAATGTATCAAGTAACGGGAAGAAATTACTTTGGAAAAGGCAGTTTCCAAGCCGTGACAGACTCGTAGAGGCTGAGGAGAGGTTCGCAAAAGGAACGAAGCGTGCTTTTGGAATTATTAAAAAAACAAAACAAAGCAAAAAAAACAACAAGCAGATTGCCCTTCTGGAAGAGATCAGCTTTCCAGCGAGCAGATGGGTTATTGAAGTGCTGTGTGGAACTCCCATTGTGATGTTAAACCAGAAAACCTGTTATGACAGCAAACCTGCCATGGAATATGAACGGTGTTCTTAATAAAGGAATCACCCAGCTCTTTATCCTTCCCTGAAAATATTTGAAAATAAATGTCTGTATCCATTCTCGAATCTGACTTACTTGGCATTTATACCCAGGTGAGGGGATAAGTGGTTTTAAAATTGTTTATAAATACTGTACAGTGGTGCCTCGCTTAACTATGTTAATTCGTTCCAGCGAAATCGCTGTAGAGCGAAAACATCATAAAGCGAAAATAAAAAACCCATTGAAATGTATTAAAACCCGGTTAATGCGTTCCAGTGGGCTAAAAACTCACTGTCCAGCAAAGATCCTCCATACGGCGGCCATTTTTGGTGCCTGTCTAGTGAGGAATCCATCCTAGAAAACAGCAGGGGGCTGTTATCTGATCCTCGTAATGCGAAAACACAGCAGATTTTGCCCATAGGAAGCATCATTTTGCGATCGCTTTTGCGATCACAAAAAAGACATCGTTAAGCGGATTCGTTGTTATATGGGGCAATCGTAAAGCGAGGCACGACTGTACGAAATGTGGTCAGCTCTGGTTTCTACATCGGATCCAAGCCCCCCTCACGGATGCTGAATAATGTGGATTATAGTGAATGCTACACATCGAATGGTTTCTGGCTCCACCCGATGGCCAGTTCTGGTAACTTCATCTTTAGAAATACATCAGTACTGTACAGTATTTTTAGGATTTTTCTTTTAATATTTTAAATATTTTCAGTCTGTGGATAAGTGAATGAGTGGATACTAATTCTGCAGATAAGTGGGCCATACCGTATTATTATTTGGCACAGTAGATACAGGGATTCTGTAAAGTTTTGACCACTCCAGGTCTCTGCCATGCCCTTTAGTTCAGGGGGAGTGTCAAATTAGGTTTGATCCACAGAGGTGCCCCAAGGTGGGGAAGCTGTACAGTTTTAGAGGATATGGAGGGGTTAGGAAGGGGTATTGGAAGAAAACCAGTTTAACTTCTCCGCCTCATCCAAAATTATAGATGGAGAATGCATGATGATAATATCATTTAGTGTTTTAGTTGGGCTGAGGCAGAACGACCTAGATATTCTACATTCCCTGGCCAAGACCTCAATACTATAGGCTGTCACATCCCACAGACTATAAACCTATTGTTTTGACCTCTTTGGTCATCCAACTTCCACAAATTTAAAACATAAGTATAAATATAAATATATACACAAGCTTGAAGCCAGCTGAACATCCACGGTGCTAACAAATTGAAAAGTACAAATACATACATTCTGCAAAATGCTGAGTTAAAAACAAAATACAAGAGGATTAAAATGTACACATAATTCCAAATTTAAAAACCGAGTCATTTCAGGTGGGTCTTCAGATGAGGCATTCCCGCAACATAAAAATTTATTATAGTCACTGGCCATTAAAACCATGAGCATGTACATATACATTAAAATGCACGCTAAAATGATATAATAATAGTAAGGTTGTACATCTGATATGCTATATAAACTCTAATACGGACCCCCGTATCTGTAGGATCAGTATCCGCTGATTCACTCATTCATAGACTGAAAACATTAAAACAAAAATCTTAGAAATACTGTAATATATTTCTAAAGATGAAATTACCAGAACTGGCCAGTAGAGGGAACCAGAGACCATGCAATGTGTAGTGTTTGCTAGAGAAATTTATTTCCACAATGTCATTACCAGAACTGGCCACTAGAGACAGCCAGACATCATGATATATTCAGTGTTCGCTATTAAAATAGCATTGGCTATTTTATACGTGAATTCACGTTTTTCAGTATCCATGGGAACCGATCCCCATGGATACAGGGGGCCCTACTGTAGTTTTTACTACAACATCCCTGCCGCAAAGCACTGTGATGGAGAACCCCGATAAAATCAAAGGCCACACATCCTTCTATCCTTCTGCTCTCCCTGGCATTTTCCTCAAATCTATCTTTCCCCCACTTTTTCTTTTCTTTTCTTTTTTAATGGACCTCCTGTTTGGTATTCTTCAAACATCATTGGTAAGCCTTTTGTAAAGCTGTAATTTGGATTTGAAAGAACCAGTAGAAGAATCGGCTCAGATATTTGCGGAATTTTTCTGAGTCAGGCCAGTTTGGAAACTGGAAATTGGGTTGTGGCCATATCTGACCAAAATGTCGTATTTGGAGATACACTGTAACTGATACTGGAGGTTCTATTTTTAGCTGACACGGTTATTACTGACTATTAGATCCCATCCTATGTATGTTTCTAATCTTTCTTTTAAAAACCAATTTAAGCTAGTGCTAGTAACCGCATCTTGGGGCAGTGATTTTTATAAATTAATTTTTTGGATGGTGTGAAGAGAAATACTTCAGATCATGAAGGTCCTGCCACTCAGCTAATGATATGTATAGCCATGCCTATGGCTGCTGGTGGTGGAAGATTCTGAGAGACATAGTCTAACAGAGTAACCTTGTCATACCTTGCCCAGAAACAGAGCCTTTTTGGTGGTGACTCAGTGATAATGAAATACAGTTGTGCCCCACTGGACGATTACCCCGCTCTACGACAAATCCGCTTAACATTGAAGTTTTTGCGATCGCTTCACGATGTTTAGATGGAGTTTTTTTGCTTAGCGATAATTGGTTCCCTACTTTGGGAACTGATTTTTCACTTTACGGGTTTCAAAGTTGCCACCAGCTGAAGAAAATGGCTCCCCACTGTGTTAGGGACGGATTCCTCGCATTACAGGCACAAAAAATGGCCGCCGTATGGAGGATCTTCGCTGGATGAGCAGGTATTCAGCCCATTGGAATGCATTGAACGGTTTTCAATGCGTTTCAATGGATTTTTAAAATTTTGTTTGACGACGATTTCACTCTACAGTGATTTCGCTGGAAGGAATTAACGTTGTCAAGAGAGGCACCACTGTATCCTTTCTTCCACCGCAATATATGTACCATATTGGTTTGGTCTTTTTTTGAATAACAGCTCACAGAATTCCACAGGCACGCCATGTTTGTTGTGGAATTCTGGGAATTGTAGTTTTTTTTTTAAAAAGATTCCCTCTCTTTGTTATACATGCAAACCTTTCCTGCGAAATTTTGAAGAAACGTTTGTTTTAATTTCAGTGTGCTTTTTATTAACTGCTAGGATTAATTAAATGCTTGTCTTTTTATGTACAGTACTTGGCACTTATCATAGAATCATGGAGTTGGAAGGGGCCTATAAGGCCATCGAGTTCAACCCCCTGCTCAAGGCAGGATCTAAGGCTAAGTCAAAGCAGATCTGACAGGTGGTTGTCCAATTTTAAAAACTGAATGGTTATTGCTTCTGATTATTTATGCATTTAAAAAAAGAAGTTTTGAAGTCCCTTGGGGTGGCAGTTGCAACCCAAAAGGCTCTTTAATAAACTGCTAAAAAATTAAAATATCCCTCAATTTTTGCATGTGACAGACAGTTCTAATGGAACGTCCATGTTCATGGGCTTTCTGAGAAAGACTATTGTTATATTTCTGTTGAACTTTTCTACATAAAGAAGGTCAGTTCACTGTGACTAACTATCAGAGGACAATGTGATTTACTGTATTTACAGTGGTGCCTCGCTTGACGATGTTGTAGAGCGAAATCGTCATCAAACAAAATAAAAAAACCCATTGAAACGCATTGAAAACCGTTCAATGCGTTCCGATGGGCTAAGTGGCTGCTCGTCCAGCGAAGATCCTCCATACAGCGGCCATTTTTGGTGCCTGTCTAGTGAAAAAACAGGGAACCAATAAACGTTAAGCGAATTCCCCCATCTAAACATTGTTTTGCGATCGCTTTTGCGATTGCAAAAACTTCAACGTTAAGCGGATTTGTTGTAGAGCGGGGTAATTGTCCAACGGGGCACAACTTTATTTATTTATTTCGTGATTGACTGATTGATTGATTGATTTATAAAGCTTATAGACCACCTGACTTTGTGAAATCCCTACTCGGAGCAGTTTAAATGAAATAAACCAAACCATAAAACCAAACTAAAAATAATCAAAAGAATATGCACTCATTCTCGTTGATCAATCAAACTTTAACAACAAAAAGTGACTCTCAGCACTTGTGTCCCATGATTTCCTTTTCTTTTTTTAAAAATTAATATCTGCTAAAAGAACAAAAATACTTGTCATTAGTCAAGAATTAAGGTAAAAAAAATAGGCTGCATACCAAATGTAATAATGTTCTTGGGTTGGGATATTGTACTGTATTGTCAATGTATGGACTCTTGTCACTGTAATTCGTAAGGAGTTCGTAAGCTCATTTGCTTACCAAATTACCACGTGTAAAATGCTTGCCATGATTTCCAAGTATAAATAAATTCGCAAAGTTAAAAAAAAAGTAATATTCCTTAGCTGTGGTCTCCTTGCCATTAAGTATGTTGGGCAGAGGAATTTGGGGGTCATGACATGGACAGCAAATAGTTAATTATGAAATTTGCTGTTCTGTGTTTCCTGTTAAGAGAGAGAGAGGAAAATACACTCCGGGGATTTTTCATATGTCCAAATACATTGGTTTGCTTTAGGTACTATAACAATAAATTATAATAATCCTGTGCCATCATGTCAATTCTGACTTACAGAAGGCTCAGAGGTGGTTTAGTGTCCCCTTCTGGTGATGCCCTATGCAGCTTGGCCCAAGGATACCCAGGCTGGCAATTCTTCCAGGAGGCCCAGCGGGGAATCGAACTCGCAACCCTCTGTCTCCTAGGAGGCCCAGCGGGGAATCGAACTCGCACCCCTCTGTCTCCTCAGCCAGCCACTGAGCTATCCAGCCAGTCTATAGGTACCATACGTCCCCAAGGGGGACATCCGTGAGGCAGTGATTTTGTTCGCACTGGCCTTCAGTGTTGCACCGCCTTTTAAACCGTTTTAAAAAATTATTATGACAATAATAAGGGGTGGTGTCCACTTCCCCGAGACTCAGGTAGGGTGGTATTACAGTGGTGCCTCTCTAGACAATGATAATCCGTTCCACTGAAATCGCTGTTTAGCGAAATCATCCTCTAGCGAAAAGCATTTCCCCATTGGAATGCACTGAAACCTGTTTAATGCGTTCCAATGGGGAAGAATCGTCGTTGTCTAGCGAAGGTCGGCCATAGGAAAGCCACATTGCGAATTGCCGATCAGCTGTTTAAATCGCTGCCTTGCGAAGCTTAGGTCCCGAAAACACCCATTTTGTGAGCACGGAGGGAGCGGTGAAAATCGTTGTCTAGCGAAAATTGGTTTGCGAAGCAGGGACCAAACATTGTCCAGCGAAATTCCCCCATAGGAATCATTGTTTTGCGAATCGCTATAGCGATCGCAAAAAGTCAATGTCTAGAGAAAAACAACTGTCATGCCGGATAACTGTCTAGCGAGGCACCACTGTACAGTATTTCACTTGCAATCCAGGCCAGAAGCAGGACTCCGTGGCTCTCTAACAGTTAAATCAATCAAGCTGGCCTCGCTAGAGAGGGAGGCGATGCTGTGGAGGGTGGAGGGGACCGCCTTGACAGATGCCACTTCCGGTCCGCCTCCTCTGCCAAGTGGGATTTTGAATTCCCCCCTTTCCAAGCAGCTGGGAATCTGATGTCTGGGGCCGGAGAGTTAAAGGTAGGTGGGCCAGTGGGGAGAGGGAAGAGGAGGAGAGGGTAGAATAATGTGCTTTAAGGGGGAAAGGGGATTTTTTTGGCCGGGGGGGGGAGAGAAATAGGGAGAAAAGCAGAAATTCTGGATTTGGGAGTGCAAGTTGAGCAGCGGGTGCTGAGGACTCCATAAATAAGTAAAATGCCCAAGAGAAGCGGGATCTAGCTGGCTGGCTGGAGGAAGAAAAACGGGAAGGGATGGTGGCGCACCTATTTATTATTTATTTGTTTATTGCATTTCCCTGTATTTCCCCAGAGAGAACAGGAACTCTCTGNATAATATAATAATAATAATAATAATGATAATGATAATGATAATGATAAGGTAAAGGGATTCATGTACAGGAAAGAGGAGCAGAAGAGGATTAAAAACAAGCTCAGTTTCACGTTGTTACTCTCGGTTCCAGTAGTTTGTGCTCGGAAAGGAAGCCTTTCACACAGTGTATGATCACCCTAATAAAATGGCCTAGTTTTGTCACATTCATCAGTGTCCCATCTAATGATAATGATAATGATAATGATAAGGTAAAGGGATTCATGTACAGGAAAGAGGAGCAGAAGAGGATTAAAAACAAGCTCAGTTTCACGTTGTTACTCTCGGTTCCAGTAGTTTGTGCTCGGAAAGGAAGCCTTTCACACAGTGTATGATCACCCTAATAAAATGGCCTAGTTTTGTCACATTCATCAGTGTCCCATCACAGAGACCGACAGATATTTAGAACATGGAAACACGACGTTTTGGAGAATGTTTTTGGACTACTCCAGGCAATTGGCTGAAGGAGATGATGGTGGTGGTTTCTTGTTTTGTTGTTGTTGTTTTGTTGTTTGCCTTTGTGCCCTGCTGCCTTGATCTGGAATGGTTGCGCCGCCGTGGATTTGATGGTTGACTTAATTTCTTGGCTGGTTTTTCTTTTAGAAAGTTTATTGTCGCTTTTTGCTTTACTGGCTCGATTTATTTACTCTGTGAGCCACTCAGAATAGGGCATTGCGCTAATGGAGTGGAGTGTAAATTAATGATAACAAATAATTTCTGGTTGGTTTGGCTCTAGAAAAAAAAAAGTTTCCAAATTGTAAGATTGACTGCACGGACAGTCAGACTGACAGACAGAAACTGTTCCAGCCAAACATTACTTTTTGCAAATGCTTCATTCTACACATGCTTCCGTTTTCCCCCCTCTCCTACCCACAACTGTTCCTGTGGATGGAGTCATATACATAAGAACATAAGAAGAGCCCTGCAGGATCAGGCCAAGGGTTCATCTACTCCAGCTTCCTGTATCTTACAGTGGCACCACAAGACGACTCTGGAAGCACATAAAACTTGTCTCCTGATCCCCCTCCCCTGCATCTGGCCTTTGGAGGTACCTTCCTTCTAAGCCTGGAGATTATACATCCCCATCATCATGGTTTGTAACCTGCAATGGACTTTCCCTCCAGGAATCTGTCCAATCCCCTTTTAAAGGCATCTTGGCCAGATGCCGTCACCACATCCTGTGGCAAGGAGTTCCACAGACTAACAACCTGCTGCTGGTTAAAGAAATCTTTTCTGTGGTCTGTTTTCACTCTCCCAACACTCCATTGGAGTGGATGTCCCCTGGGAAGGAGGGAGGGATCTGTCGTAGATAGATATACGGACATTTTAGGAGAAATATGAGGCCCACACTACAGTATGGAGACCTTCTATGTCTCAGCCAGCCATGACTTCTTGTTAGATACTTCATTCTGCGCACACACATATTTTTTCCATTCCATGCCTGCATGTAGGAGGACCACTTGTCTGTGTTAAGGACCCAAAGTTGGAAAACTGAGCTCTCTGGTGGGGAAGGGGAAACCACTTCGCCACTTAGAAAAACCTGAAAAAGGCCCCCATAATTCAGAATTGGACGTGGTGGCACGTGAGGAAGATTATAATTATTGGTATATATATACAGTATTACCCTTGGATATGAATTGTGTGGAGAATGAGAACATTCTTTTCCCTAGCAGATCATGGTTGCTGTTCTGGCCTGGGGCACTTTGCCGCCTCAGCAGTTTGTTGGATGGTTAATCTTTTTATTACTTCCCCACGAGAAGAGGGAGAAAGGGGAGCCTTATGCGGTGTCCTCGTCGCGCTGACAGGAATGCAGGAAACGGCTTTATGCTGAGTTAGAGCATTTGCCTACACAGGTCGGCTTTGTCCCTTTCAATTGGCAGTGGCTCTCCAAGGACTCAGACAGAAAGGAATATATATATATATATATTTAAAAAAGTAAGTTACCTTTGTATCCTGCTTTTACTCCACTAGGAGTTACTATCTGGATCGTGCCATGCGTGGTTTTTGTTTCTGTGCTCTGCAGAAGAAAGCTAACGAATGTATGTATTATTCATAGATACATAGGGTAACAGCTGCCTCATAGCCCCAGCCAAGCCTTGGAGACTAGATAGGGCGTCAGCAGCTCAGTATAGGCAACACACAGCTTCCTGTCACCCATTAAGGGAAATATGTCTTGAGCTTCAGGCTACATATTTGGTTTTTCTTTGGCCCACTTCGTTCTTATTCTTAACTTACTTAGTGTCTGGCTCCAGATCACCCTGTGCGTTTCATGGCTTAGTGGAGATTTGAACCTGCGTCTCCCAAGTCCCAGCCAAATGTTTCTAAGCCACTACATTGCACTGGCTCTCCAGACCTTTACGTAACATTTGCTTTCTGACATACTGAACAAAAAAAAGTCTGGAGGGGCCAGGCAATGAAGTGGGAA